AGACACAACAACCACCTCTCTCTCTCTCTCTCCCTCTCTTTTTTCTCCCTGTCTCGCTTTCTATCTCGATTCCCTCGATGGATTAAGACATCACGTTTCCGAGTTCCGTTGACGCTCTTTTTTCGAAGACTCGATCGAAACTATTTTAAGTGGATGGTATTCGATGCGAAGGTCGTGGTGTTATATTACGAATTGTCGGGTAAAACGAGAAACAAAAGGAAGCATCTCTTGGAAGAAGACGAAAAAAAAGAAAGAAAGAGGAGTGGAAACGCATCTTGGTTCCTCTTATATTGATAATAATTTTCTCTCTCCTCCTTATTTTTTTTATAATCAGTCGATAGCTGGCCGATGATTGCGCGTAACCCTGTAACGAATCCCACGGAACAACGGAAAAGGGGACGCGTGTAAACGCGTTCTAAATCTCTTCTCTCGCCACGTACGTAGAGGATCGTACAATCGATGCCTGGATCGATCCTCGTGTCGTATCCACGCGAGGATACGTAGCGAACAACAAGTTTCACCAAAAAAGAAAAAATAACTCGAGGTTGTTTCTCTTTCTCGCGTGGCTCCTTCGCTCGTTCACCAAACCGCACCAAAATCATAACAGAAAGTACAGTGAAAAGCGACGAACAGGAAAGAAAAAAGTTTCCTCGCACACTCTCTTTCTCTCTCTCTCTTTCTTTTTCTCTCTCCTCTAATCAAGATATTCGAACTTTTTCCTTTTTTTTTTTATTCAAAAACGAAACATCACACGACGCCGCACACAAATTGCCAACAAGAGGGAACGAGCATCGACTCTCGACTCCCCCACAGAGAAACAGATTTATCTCACTCTCGTGAGACGCGATCTATCTTGAACACGTTTCCCCGAAGATCACGAAAGGAGGAAAAAGTGGGAAAACACCGGAACCACGTCATTCGTTCGGGAATGAATGATTTCTTTAATGAAATGGTATCGATATCTCGGGAATGATAATGTGTCTCGCGTACCTGAGATCGGTTGATCGGTGGTGCAGGGCGCGGCGGCATGGTCCCGTCGCAACACAGCGCCGTTCGACGAGCACTGAGCAGCTATTCTGCGCCAACGGGGTTGCGTCGACGTCGAAAAGACGTGAACGGTCGCCTCTTGCCCCTCGCGCTTCCCCTCCTCCCACCACCCGTACTACCGATGCCACTCTTCAGGGTACTCTCACACGTATTACCCCCCTTCTCGCGCACACCCCTCCTCGTCCTTATTCCTCTCACAGGCCTGCATCCACTGCTCTCCACTCTTTCCCACTTCCTCTCGTTGTCTCCGACTCGCTGCTACGTCCTCGAGGCAGCCACCCCCGCGGCACATGCGCGCGGATTCCCCCCCCCTGTCCGACGAAATTCTTCTCGTAGAGCTGTCGGAATTGGGAAAAAACGGAGCGAGGGAGAAGGAAGAGGATGCAGAAGGGATTGGAGAGGGTGAGAGGAAGATCTGGGGGGCGGCGTTTTCTGAAAAAAAAGGGGGGAAAAAAAAAAAAGCGTATGCCTCTTTCTTCTTGTCCGCCTCATCGGCTTGTCCCCTCCTCTCACCCTCTCTCCCGCTTTTTCCTCTTCCTTCATTTCTTTCGCGCCTGCTTCTTCCTCCACGCTTCGCTCCCTCCTTCTTCCCTAATTCTTCTTATCATAAATCGTACCATTTTTTTTTTTTGCTCTTTTATTTTTTTTTTTTTATTTTTGTCTTTATCCCCCACCAGGTGAAGAAGGCTTTCTTCTCGTGCTCGCCGGTGTCACGCTCGTGTCTCAAAAGTATATCTCTCAAAAACGCGTGGTTAAACTACCCACTCTTCTCCTCCCCCAAGTTTAATTCGATGAATCTTCTGTTTGCTTGAGCTCCTGGCTCGGGGCAGGGATTTCCGGAGGCTTTTGTTGCTTGCCAAGGGGTCGTGGAGACCAGAATACGCAACAATTCGCTGCAATTTTACTTGCTTCTGTTTCCCCGCTTCCTGCTACTACCTATTTCCTTTTCTTTCCTTCTTCTTCTTCTTCTTTTTCTTCTCTTCACTCTCGCCTCACTCTCTCTCTCTCTCTCTCTTTATCCCACGTTGGCGGCTATACGTGCGCGCGACCAGGTTATGAAATGTAACTTTCAACGTGACTTTTGAGTATACTTGGTAATCCTAAATTGTAAGTGTGCCGGTTTTTCTTAAGAAAACGGTCGCCTTTACGGTTCCCGCTTTTTTCATCGATACGACAAGTCACGTATGAAAGATTTACTTAGTGACTCACGTTTAATATTCAGACATCAAGATGCATGAGAGATTGTATCGTTGTACGGATATATCTTAGTGAAATAGAGTTATCCAATCGGTTCTGTGTTAAAAATGTATAAGCGTTGTAAGCAGCGTTTAGGCACATAGAATTTTTTTACGTAAATAAACGATAAGTTAATTAATAGGAAAAGTTTACATTGCGAAAATATTCTGAGAGATAATCTGTTATTATATAAATTTACGAACAATAGTAATAGAATCGAATATAGTAACTTATCGTTATGAAAAGTTAACGTTCTTCATTATCGCTTATTGTAAGAAACAATGTGTACAATGTGTTAATAACAGATGAAGTTTATGCTTCTATTAAGTAAAAACAAAAATTTTAATTCTTATATTAAAGAACGATCAATTTAATAAAATTGTAATAAACAGATGTGCATATGTACATATTAGAATTGTGTTATCGATAAATATTGATAATTAATTAACAAATTATCGATAATATTGTTAAATTTTTATTTTGTTGAAAATTATTATTAAAAAAAAAATACTTCGAGTAATAACTTTTCAATAAAGCTTTTTTTACTTATTAATTTTTTTTATAGATGTGTCAAAAACTATACGATATCGATAATACAATATAGTTATTATTATGCACAATTTTGAAACATATAATAATATTCTTTTGTCACAACGTTTCGTAACTTCGTTATAATACAATTAACGAAGATTAATTGAAAGAAATCGCGAAAAAAGCACACGAATCTCGATATCGAAATGGAACGAGAATAAGCAAATCTCTATCTTCATCTTACCACGTCATCTTCGATCGGAGCGTTATTATAAGAATTGTTTTTCTATTCCTCTTTTTGGCACAATCTTTTCTGCTCTCCCGGCAATAAATATTACCAGCGTTCTATCGCGATGCTTGCGCGAATTAAAGGAGCGGCCCACGTCTGAATAGCATGTCTAGGAAAATGCGGGGAATAGAAAATGAAAAGCGGGTTTTTATTCGCGGAGGCCCCGTCCGAGCGCCGCTTTTTCGCCCGTAATCACTAGCTCTGCTCTTTGTATTCGCGGAATTTCGTCTAAACAAATATAGACGATCTCCTCTTAGACAGGCTAGAGACAGGAAACAATGAGATCGAGATAGGATTTATCGTGAAACTTGCCCGTTCCCCCTTTTCAAAAAGAACATTCCTCTCGCGGGAATTTTTCTATCCTAGAAAAACTGAAGTAGAAACGTAGGGATAGAATGCAACCCGTTATCCTTATCCGTGGAACGTTTTCTTAATTTTTAAGCGAATCCACCGGCGGTCCATTGACGATGAAACAACGGATGGGTACTGGGGAGGGGGGAGGTTTAAGTTTAAATAGCTTTCAAAACTCTTATTCTGTTTTTTGCGGATTACTTTGTTTTAAATAAGGAACAAAAGACATCCCCGATGTCTTCGTTTTTTTCACCTTTCTTGTTCTTGCTCGTTTTTTTATTTTCCTTTTTGTTTTTATATCTGTTCTTTTTTTTTTTTGTAATTCGTAGCTCTTTCCTTTGTATCCTCGAGCTTTCATTCACGATGAAATCGAATTGGACGTTTGGGATAAAAGTCTTGGTTACTTTGTCTTTATATCTATAGATAAAATGCTTGACCTAAGTAAATTGACGTAATTAAATATAACTATATATTTGAAATAAAAGTTAAATCTTAATTTATGTTTTATAAATCATTCCAATAATTATTTATTATATTATTCTGCAATAAATAATGCAATTCATTCATTTTCATTACAGAAAATTCAAGAAACAGTTCAAAAATAATATTGTAACAATTAATAAAACAAAGATTTCGTTGCATTTTAGTATAAAAATTTAGTAAAGTTTCAATGTTAATAATTAAATTTTTAAATCATGAAAAATTAGAAGTAAATGTGATAATTTATCTCTTTCATTTTTTGACAATTCTAGAAAAAATGAAAAAAAAAGAACATGAAAAATAATTAATCTTAAAAAATATTAATAGACGAGATTAAAAAATATTTTCAAATTATTTAAAAACTTTCGTTTCATTTCGTTTAAATGACCGTTTATTTTGAACAATATAAAGATATATCATCCACGTTTCTTGTTTTTCCACATAGATTCACAATCGCCTGTCCTCGTACGTTTCCGTGTACGTTATAATCGAACACAAAGCTCAATAGAATGCTTCTGACGGTCGTGTATTTTCGCGAACGATTGCTCGTTCCCTTTCAACCCCCTTCTTCAATGATTCCTCCCCTTCGTATTCTCACACCTTCGCGTGTTGTCGAACGCAACTTTCGGTGTAATATTTCAGCCACAATATAAATCATAGAAAAAGAGAATAAAGGGATCTCTTCACTCTTCTTCTCTCCTGTCATCGTCTTTACGTGACAAAGAAATTTTTCCTCAAAATGTCAACCATTCTTCCAATTTTCCCTTCAGTTTGTCCATAAACTTCGGGATCTACTTCGGGAAAATAAAAATTACCTTCGACAATTCACCTTCGAGCAAACTTCATAGAATTTCTCTTTGTAATTCCATACATAAATATTGGTATAGAGACCAAGTTAGAGACTGGTTACGTATAAGTTAGATTGACTAATTATTAATAACATTGCATCTATATGTATGCTATATATGTTAATAGAAAAACAACAAAAAGAAGTGATTCCATTATGCCAGTTATTTGCTTCTGATATCGTGATTGCATTGATTACTGGAAAATTAATAGTGTTTATCGAAAAATTAACTACGTAATAGTACATAACTATGTTTTTTTTAAAGATCTTGTTTTTACACTTTATATAATTACTGGTATAAATGATTAATTAATCTTTTAATGTTTTCTTATTGCATTATCTGTTGCAACAATATTTTTTTTAAATATAAATAATTTAACATCAAGAAAAACATTCGAATCAAACCGAGTAAATATTTGAAGTTGATTTATTAAGTTTTTATATATTTTTGTATAATCTAAATTTTATATCTAAGTTTTTATTGTTTTTAGTTTTAAATTATTATTTTGTTGTCAGAAAAATAATTTCATATTTAAATTTATAATGATATAATTTATATTTAATTAATTAAAAAATCTTTAATTTATTATTAAGACGTGGAAAAGATTGAAAGATAATTAATATTTTATATTAACAATGCAATTTTATGAACATTGTATCATTAAATTTTATTTATTTTATTATATAATGATACAATGATACATTTTCTTTAAAAAACAAATTATAACGAATATTACAGTCATAAAAATTATTTTTCAAATTGTTAATACCAATCATTGTTAATAGTATTATTTATAACAAAACAAAATAAATATATCATCAAAGATTTCGACAAAATTCACCTAAAAACAATACATGCATCAATAATTAACTCATAATGTTATTATTAATGTTAAACAAGTAAAAAAACAATTTAAAGTGCAATATCTGAACATTTCATCGGCAGATGACAGCAGCAATCGAAACATCGGATGTATGCTTCTTCGAATGCAGAGAACATTAATAGATTGATTATCTATTAATCGAATAAAATATGTCTTAGACAGAAATGATAAATATTAATATTTTATCCAAATAATTTAATTAAAAATGAAAAATTGAAAAATTAGCCTATCTCTTGCCACGTAACACTACGTAATCGCCAAAGAGCGAGCACGAGACCACGTTTAAACACGATGACGAATGCAGTCAATTATTTTTATCGGCAATTACAGTCACGCGCAACACGCGTGCCCAACTGTTTACGGAAACGTTTAACTCGGCCTATATCGTCTGTTTATCAAACACACTAATTAAGAGAAATCGACAAATGATATTTGTTTCTCATCCGATACACTAGGCGCGTAGATAAATCTTGTCATCCATCGAGTCAAATCATCGGCCAAAATGATGAATAAGTATTCTCGCTAGGAACAATGAATTCGACAGTGGGAATGATAAACAGCCGCGTATCACGTTGCTACTAATCGATATTGCTCGCTGACA